ATCAGTGACATCTAAAATTTACTTTCCATTTGTAATATGAATGATGCTTGGCTTGCACAAGAAGTTGGAAATGTTAATGTTTTTATAAATACATTCGTGGAACGATTCAAACAGTATCTTTCTTTGGTATGGCGGGCTGACTTGTGTACTTTAGACAAGTTAGATACTTACTGTCAATTTAAAACTACCATAGAATCAGAAAGATATTTGTTTTCTGTTCATATTCGAACCCATATGCAATCACTATCTCGACTACGATGTTCATCACATTGTTTACGAATTGAAAAAGACAGAGGTCATCTTGAAAGAAATCAACGTACGTGCGAGCTTTGCAATACGAATTCTATTGAAAACGAGTTCCATTTTTTATTAGTTTGTAATTTTTATAACTACATTAGATGCCTCTATATCCCACACTACTACTGCACCCCACCAACTGTAAATAAATTTATCGAATTACTGAAAACTCAAAATGATGTACTACAGCGTTTAGCTGCGTTTGTATTTAATGCTATGAAACTTAGGAGGGAAGCCGCTGAAATATTGTAAATAATTTAAATATTTTGTATTTACTGTTTTGGGCCGATGGCCATGTATCAGTTAATAAAGATCCTACTAAACAAATAAAATAAATTTCTGAATTATCTTGTCAAAATTAGTTTTTTATTTTGTTTTTTCCCCCCAAAACGAATGAATTTTACAATGTCGAAAACGGAAAGTCTTTATCGTAGTGTTTATTTGCAAAATGTAATCGTTTACAAAATGAGATGACTCAATTTCTTTGTCAGACTCCATCTTTGACTAACACGGTGTTCACCGTGTTCTCGGGCCAAATACCACAGAACTGTGATAGAATCAGAATGAAGGGCCATCTCCAGACCAGAGTGCACGGACTAGGAAAGTATGTCCTCAGACTTGCATCGTAAAGTTATGTTGATGGGGACTTGACCGGTGTAGCCACACAGAAAATCCAATGTATTGCACATCAACGTCAATGTTTAAATATTTTCCGTATACGCGATAGGAAACTAAACTGTATAACATATAACAATTGTTCATACCAAACTTACCACAATCATTGTATGTCCCTCCCACAATGTAGTTTGCCTCTCCTTGCTAATGGTATGACCCACAATCAAATTGCGTGTAGTAGCCGTTAACCAGCAATGTTGCTGTGTTCCGTTCAATTATTGCGATGGTAGATGACAGTAACGCATTACAGTGATTGCCCAACGCATGTTAGAATGTAAACAAACACAGAAGATTACGGAAAAAAAGTCGCAGGACAAAAGTAGTTGAGCCACAGTATTGAATGGAAAAATATATATTTTTTGAACGCATACTAGTAGATACAGTTTGTTTGCGACTACCGTTTGTTTGTGAGATACGCGAGGTAATACCACACTCAAAAACATACCTTTCAGAAATGGAGCGATCTTCTTGAAAGCGCCGACGGGTCCCAGTCGAATGTACTGACCCAGGGCTAGTTCCATGTACAGCAACGGAATGCCGACAAATATCAGCATTATAAAATAAGGTATTAGGAATGCTCCTATTGTAAAAAGAAATATGTTGGACGGCAAGTATAGACAAATCAGATATTTACAGTTTCTCTAAATATTCCAGTTGTTGTTATGGGTACAACGAACATGTTAACAGTAATAGCCCCTACAACCAAACACGTAAGTCTTGCCAAGATTTAATTTGTGTTCTAAGAACACACACACACACATTCACTGAAACAAATGATTTTGTTTATTAACTTTTTAAGGTGTTGGTCATTAATTATATTAGTTCTAAATGTCAGCTTGTTTCACCCAGGGTTTGTGTTTTGTTTGCGTATGTCCAGTATTTCTCAAGTTTGTGATCGGCTAGACAGCCTCACGGTATTCAATCTAGTCATTCCGAAAGTTGGTCATCAATCGCATGACAATGTATAATGGTTTATAATGTAAAATCATGGAGCGATTGTCCCCTGGCACCATGTAAAAGCATTCTTGTGTGTGTTACAGATAATATATTTTGAGAAACATGTGCTAATATTTATCAAGATTCGCTATTTTTAAAACAATCCATAGAAAACAACTTTTTTAACACACTTAAAACCCAGATTTTTGAAATAATTCTTTAGGACAAATAAATAAATAAATTGTTAAATTACCCTGTTTTGGTTATTTTTGCATGTTCTGCTGCCACGGGTGAATTATTCATGGATATAATAATTCCATGTTGCTAGAGAGTACTGTTTTATATGATTTTTTTCAACCTTAGTCACTAGCCTACGAGTTGAGATAAGGCAAAATATTTCTGCTATAGGAGCATATAGTAAAAGTGTTATAATACTGGAAAAATCATCCACTCATTTACAGCCATCATCATTTTATCGAAAAATTAATCTTGTAACTCCAACTTTTTAAAGTCGATATTCTTATGTTTCCAGGGAGTACAATTTATTGAAAACTTTGCATTTAAGATTAGGCTTCTACCTAATGTCTTTCCTGTACATAATTGTATGTGCTGGTTCTTCATATCACACAAAGGAATATTGTTAAATCAGAACACCAGTAAGACCGTACTATACGGGTTTAATTATTGTATAACGTATTACTGTAACAATCATGTAGATTATCATTCATCAGCAGATATGGGTGAGGTGACTGTCTG